CAGGATCAGAATTGATAGATTTTGTATTTTTGCCAAATCAAAAGCGATTAAGTCCCCGGAGCAGCTCGGGCGTGAGTGAGAAAACGAGGTTATAGAGCCAACCAGCAGCCACGGGTGATATTTTATGTAGAGGGTGATTGGATATTTAATAAGTATAAAGTATGAATTGAATGCTAGCATGCCCCTTATAAAGGTTTTGGGATGTCGTTCAGATGTAGTATACTTGTCCCAACTTAAGACACTTGAAGCTTGTTTTGCCTTGGTGGAGGTTAGGTAGGACACTTGGGCTCTGTCAAGACGCTTGTTATCCGAGCTTGGCCACATAGTGCTTGGCCCGGACATTTATGGTCCGATTCGGCCATTTGGTATCTGGTCGAGACATTTGGAACCTGGCTTGGGCACTTGGAGCCTAATCAGGGCTACGTGTTAAGCCACCTGTTGCATGTATCGACCACCTAGTGCTTAGCTGTAACATGTTATGGCAATCTGTCCTTCACGTTTCCAATGTATGAAGTGGCTTGAGACCGGCTACCTAGCAGTAGCAGGGCTACCTTACGTATTGACAATCTTGTTGCATATACCGCCAGGTGGTTGCTTGATGGACAAGTATTGGAATGTGGAGCTCTCCTGGAAGGGAAGCTCATCTCGCTAATAAGGGAAAAACTTCTGGAGGGGAGCTCACAGAGAGGCCTCCTCGCGGAGGTCGGAATTACTTGTACATACAAGTTGAGTTAAAAAGCCCAAGTGGTTTTACATGTCGCTGACGTGATTTTTATCCTCTGAGATGATGATAGGATCGCGAGTTCCAAGCTGAAGACAAGGCTACAAGTCCACCTAAACTTGCCATGTGTTCGGTAGTTCAGAGGTCAGATTTACTCTCATCAACTACAAACATGAATCTACTTTTTTACACATGACCCATTTTGAATGCAAAATTTGTATCTATTTTTTTATACAAGTTTTGCTCTCATTTTGATTGCAAGCAGTCTTTATTGTGATAGTTGTCAGTACATAGTTATCAAATGCTTCAAAATTGACCTAGAGTGCATATCTAGTATCCAGTATGTATAATTTCTATAATTATATACTTAGGGTGCATGTGGTTCATACCATATCTATAACTATATACTCAATCTATTTGGTTTTAGAAATGGCAATGGGACGGGTTTGGGGTGGGGATTACATTCTCCATCCCCGACCCTAACCCCCAAATCATCCCCCATCCCCGTCCCTGATCCCCGTTGGGGAAAGGAATTCTCCTCCATCCCCGACCCTAATAGGGAAAAATGTAATATAAGATTCCCCGTTGAAGACTCGAATCCCCGATTACATGAAGAGTTTAGGAAGATCTTTGGGCATGGCCGACTAATAAATAATTTATAAGAGAAGAGGAGTCAAATTCAAACCTCTTAACCATAAAGTCCTCTTTGGATATGGTGTGTTGCAAGAGGGGTTTGGGAAATTGATCTACATGCCAGTTCCTCGAGATGAGGTTATGGAGGAGACGATAGACGTCCGACGTTTGACGGGCGACGACAATGGCAGTTGGCCAGGATAAACGAAGGAAGAACTAGGGTTTTAGTTTCAGTCGCCACTCTGTTTTGTAGTCTGTTTAGTTCTTTCTTCTTTGAGTCTTCTATGTCCTCTGTCGAGTGGTAGTCAGCAACGATAGACGTCCAACGTCTAACGGGCGGCAACGACAGCGGCCGGCGACGATAAATGAAGGAAGAACTAGGATTTTAGTTTCAACTACTACCTCTGTTCTGTAGTTTGTTCAGTTCTTTCTTCTTTGAATCTTTCTTTGTCCTCTGTCGAGTGGTAGTCAAGAGACTAGTCTCGAGAGTTTTTTAGTTTGTCTTTTAATCTTTTACTTTTTTTTATTTTTACTCTTTTTGAGTTTTTATAATTTGTATAATGTTTAATTAATTATTAATTGAAATTATTATAATGCTATTTATTAATCAAATAAATGAATAATATAATATAATAATATTATATAATATTATATATATGTATATTAATCGGGGTCAGGCCGGGTGGGGATTTCATTCCCCATCCCTGTCCCCGAACCAATCGGGGGTTCAATGATAGCCCCATCCCCGACCCCACCAAAGTACTCTCTATATCCGACCTTGTCGGGTCGGGGAGTTTGAGTACCCATCAAGAAAATTGCCATCCCTATATAGTTTATATAGGAATTAGAATAATAAAAATTAAAATCAGCTAGAATGTAATATCATTCTCAAGGGAGGGAGAAGGAATGACCATTCCCTCAAATGCGGGAATGCCATTCCACTAGGGATGGTAATGCCTCTCCGCCTCTCTTATAACAGATGGTCAGGATCATGGGGTGCATGTGCATGGAATGGTAACTAGAAAGTGTTTTGTTGTGGTTGAATTATTTAAAATTTTCTTTTGCTACAGGTTTATAGCTCAGCTCACTAAGGAGCTTGGATGCTTACCTCTCCTTGACAATTACCATATCTTTGGGTAATCATAGTTGGACATTTTTTGGTATTGAATCACTCGCCTTTGTGCCCCATTTTTTGGTATTTTTTCTTGGCACAAAAACCATCAAGTAACTCTTCACCTGTTCTCCAAATGGTGGTGGGAGTGGATAGTGGGGCTTTCATCTATTCTGGATAGTCCTAGTTTATGTACCAACTGAGCCACCACTCAACTGGTTTAGTTGGACCCCTTAAATCATATGCAATCATTCTTTTTTATGTGGTAAACGAGGTTTCTAAATAAAAAAGCATAGGCCTTAACTTAATTTAAGACCGCTCATTACAATCAAGTGATAAAGTGTCTAAAAAGAAATGTGGGCAAATCCCCAAGTATACATTTTAGGAATATGAAGAGCTTTTTTTGGCGAGAATGTGAGCAGCCAAGAACCCTAATGAATATGAAGAGCTTTGTTTCACTCTCTAGAAATATGTAATCATTTTCTCTTGAATGGTACTTGGGAATTGTTTATTTTTTAGGGTAAATTTCTTAAAGTACCCTAAGGTTCAACTATTTGATTATATCCCTATTGTTTGACTATTATCTTAAAGTACTGATGATGGGCAAAATTGACACATCAGCCACCTAACGCCACGTCACCTCATAGGCCTCGGGACTTGCATGAGGGACCTCGAATATCATCTGCCATCAGGGTGGATCTGTGTATTCTCAAGTGACCTTGGAAAATCATCAACAACGTTTAAACCAAAGTTGCCTATAAGACATCGGTTCCACCTTGGGCACCTCGGGATATCAGGCGACCCAGGTGTGGATTAGCACTCCAACAAAATTACCCCAACTTGCCACATTAGCACGAGAAATGTGTTTCCAAGTACTTAATGCCTCCGAGATCTTCAGGAACGTATTGAGCAACTGATGGAAACGGCAAGCAGCCCATTCAGAGAACGCTCCCATGGGCCCCTAAGAATCCGGTCGCCAAGATCAATCACCTCCGAGAATCTCGGAAGCACCTTGATCATCCCCTGACTATAAAAGGGGACGCCTTCACCTTTGCAAGGCACACTCTTTGATAAGATACTCTAGTTCTCTTTGCTCTCTCTACTCTCTTTGCTCAAAGTTATTTCTCAACCTGTCTAATTCAGCACTAACTTAACCATCGGAGCTTCCTTGCCTGGGCTCATCACCTAGGCTCTTTGACATTCTCTCTCTTGCAGGGCTTGTGTCATTCCTTGCTCTCACTCAAAGACCTGAGTAGATAGAGCACCATCAATTGGCATTGTTTGTGGGAATGACTAAAAAGTTATCCTCATCTCTCACCGCTTTCAGTATCAATCCCCTAACTAATCAATATGACTACATACAATGGAAATGACGCTCAGACCAACACCACTGGGGCTGCACCCATTGACCCCTCGACAATCCTAGTAGGTGCTGAACCCCAACAATTTCAAGAATTAATGAATTATGTGCGGGGCATTAACCTTCGGATGTAGACATAGGAACAACGCATGGCTGCTATGCAACAACCCCTCATGCAAACCCCGATACAGACCCCTTTGTCGAACACCACCAACAAGCAGAACCCCAATAACAAGGACCAACTCCATAACCGGAATAAACAGGTCACCGACGCGAGGGACTGTGGCAAGCAAGTTGCCTCGAAAAACAACCACCAACCTTCTTGAGCTCATTCCCTGAGAAGCCATACCCAGACAGTGACGTCGATGCAACATGACCACACGTATGTCCCTGACAGTGCACACAACAAGACCTCCACCTTGCTCGAAATCGAGGCATCCCGCTCTGTGGCGGCCAGTTTATGACACAACAAACCTAGGAGACATCCACACCACACCTCGATACTTGATTGTCTAGGACTTTGCATTGAACTACATACCACCGCTACTCAGTTGGCAAGCCATGTGGAAACCTCTGGCATCCCTAAACTTGCTCATGCCTCTCCTTTGTCCATCGGGATCATTATAGAGCCACGCCCAAAGGACTTCAAGACGCTGAACTTTGAAACTTACGATGGCATGACAAATCCTGTGGACCACATTGAAAGCTTCAGGTTCCTCATGCTTATTCAGGGGGCTTTAGAGGCCAATATGTGTCCCCACCACGTTCCG